GCACATACGCCGATAAAGCAGCCGACGTCCAAGTCGGGCTTGCGGGGGCCGAAGAAGCCGGCCGACTCAAGAGCTTGGTAGGAAACCTCTAGCAGGAGTCGTTGCTGAGGGTCTAAGGACGCTGCTTCGCGGCCTGACTTCTTAAAGAAACGATGGTCAAAGCTGGCAATGTCGTCAAGGTAGTTTCCGAAGTATACTGTCTTGTCCGTGTCACGTTGGTGTTCGTGAGCAGGGAAGCGTCCGCTGGGTGGTTCGCTTAGCTTCGACTCTCCCGCATCTAGCATGCGCCAAAACTCCTCAACTGAGTCGGCGCCGGGAAATTTGCAACCCACGCCGACAACAGCAATGGCGTTCGGTGGCATGTACTCCGTGAGGAGGCCGTCTGTGCTAGTGGTAGACATTGTAGGGTGTGGTTTATAGTTCTCCTTGTTAAAAGGAGTTAAAGAAAGTTGAAGGTGCCGGTTGACGTTTGGAGAACTGGAGTTTCTTCAACGTGGGCACAAGGCCATCTCAAATAACTCAATCTCTAATAACTCCAAATCCGGAAGTAATTCATCGTCCATCGGTTTGCAGATGCAATTGTGCCTCAAAGACGACTTGAGATATCTGGAACCAATCATAATGTCTCAACCGAGTTACAAGGGTGCTAGGCCCGCAGAAGGAATCCTTGAGGGCAGTCTGAATGCACGAACTCGGGTCTCTCTGACTTGCCCCAACTCGGGTCCCGTGTCTATTTAACATTCCAATAGCGTGAATATACAACATGGATTATTATTGGCCTCAAATTCCCATTGCAACTCATGATATCTAGATTGGTGAGGCTCATATCATTCGTTACAGATGGACCTGAAGCAAACACTCCGCAAGACATGTCCTGTTTGTAATTTCCTCGAACATAGCCATTGAATCATTGATTTCCTTTTCAAAATCCTTCACGGGTAGTCTCGTGAGACTTTTGCAATAAATGTATTAGCAGTGCTTCTAGTTTAGTGAGCCTGGCTTCGTGCCTAGATCCGTCTTTGTGCTTCAACAAGTACTAGCCCAAGCAGTGTTGCACATTTGGTTTTGCTCTGGTGTGGCTCTTGTTGATGCACCAACTGTCCGTAGCCTAGCCGTTGACTTACGGAGAATTGTGTTGCTCCAGGCACTACATGGGTTTGTTTGATCGACACATAATAGGTACCTTAGGAAAGTGCACAACTGACTGATCTGCAGCTGTCATCGCGACTCTTCCTCAGGACGCATATGAGCTCAAGCTTCTAAGCTCTGGCGATGACAATCTATCCCATCAACTGCCAGAAGGTGCCAGGATGTCTCAGCCGTCTCCAGTCTTTTTCCAACTCCAACTTTAACTCAAAGTCATTTATAAAGTAGGCGGGTGAAAGGGAAATAGGGTCAGATAGATATGCATTTCTCACTTCCCCACAAGGCACGCACATACATATTGACGCTATCTAGTAGATGATAAGATTTGTAAGCACGTTTGTGCCTTTCTTGTCTCCATAAACTTTCAAAGTGCGTCTCATTGACAGCCAGAAGCATTGAGATACTTCTATACTACATAAAAATTTGCTAACAGCTTGAAATACTTTGGAGGCGTACGGGAAAGCTGAGGGTGAACGATTGGAGCCCGGGTACCCAATATAACGGCCTCAACTCCTGTACATCTCAATGATCTCATTGAAAGAGCACAGTCAGAGTCCTGGAAAAGGTTAGCAATATTCTAAGTCTGGGAATCTTCTGAATGGTGTACTTACTCCAGTTTCCGACAAGGTTATAGTTGATGTTCCGATGAATGGTGCCGAGAGCCATGCTGAAGGTACTTCGCCTTGGGTAGGGGTTCGAGCCAGAACCGACGGCCAAGCCGTTATCGACACGAGACAGGCCGGGATCACCGTTACCGCGGTCAGACTGTGCACCAAAGTTGACGAAGACGTTGGCGTAGCCGGTGACTTGAACTTCGAGATGGACGTTGAAGATACCGTCGCGGCCGGTGCTTCTCCAGGCGCGGTACTCCAGGCGGTGATCACGAGCCGAACCGGCCCAAGTGTTCAAAGGAAGCTGCGAAAGAGTGGGAGTGGCGCCATCAAAGACGTGGGCTTCAATATCGCCGCGAAGGTCGATGCTGATGGCGGGGAGTTCGGCTGGGGCACCGCGGTAACCGACGCATGTCAGGCCCCGCTCCTGTACCAGAGGTTGGAGAACTGGCGAGCATGAAGCCAGAGCAACAAATAAAGCAAGAAGCCAGAGCATCTTCAAAGCTGAATACAACGAGTGTCTTGTACAAGTAAGAAAGAATGTTGTGAGTTGGTAACGAGCTGGCGAGATGTTCTAAATGAAGAGCTCTCATCGCCCGGGGCTTTGAGTTCATAGCTATATACTTCTATTTACCTGCGCAGATATCATGGAACTCGGCATCTCCGCGTAGTACAACATCTACGATCTCTGTAATCTTCCATCAAAAATTCAAATATATGACTACGGAGTTCTCGGTGTTCAGTATTATGCCTTATTGTTCTCGAATCTGCCCAGTTGGAAATGAGGCTCAGAACACGGGCCTAAAAGCGCCCACAGCCAATAGTTTGCGACATCACTAGAGGATCGCTTGAAAGCTTGGTATATTTTTACGTCAGCTTATTGATTCCAGAACGTTTCCGATTCCGGCACGCTTTTCCGAATTGAAGTGGCAGCTTCTGTTAGTGGAATATTTACAATTCTTAGTTCAGAACTCTGAGCGAAGGCACTGACTCTTGCAAATTATCACGAGAATGCAATCAAACTTACACCCAATACAATGATTGCTTGCGAATGGAACCCGCGGAGTTCGCAACTTCGCTGGTTCATAGAGCATATAAGTCCCCAGCCGCTTTTTGCCGGAATACTAACCTGCAGCATTTGATGTATCTCTTCAGTCGTTCGAAGACAACTATTAAGTACGCTCTCTGACATTTGAGCACTTTCACTACCTGCCTTGATTCAGTCCATCGCATTTTATCGATCACAGTTAATTTTCAACATGCGTTTCTCCGTTCTTCCTGCCATGGCCCTTTTCCTGTATGTTCTTGAGGTTCATCCTTGAATACTCGTAACTTCAGGTCGCTAACGCTCGCAAGGGGATTTTCCATGGCTGACATGCACGACTACTGCGCATGCCAATACAAAACCAACTCAGCAGTTGACTATGCCGCCACTGATCTGCTAGCCGGTGACTGCAGGTTCGGCTACACCTATGGTAGGTCTTGCGGCTTTTGCCAATCAGAGTTGCGCAGCTAAAAGCTTTATAGGCCAAAATTCGGGGCAATTCTGGATTGGTCGATCATCTGGTTCGGGACCAAGGTTCCAAGGACGATTCGTAAGTTCAATTCTAGCTCGATCAGTACCCAGGGAAACGACACGACTGACTTTTGACAACAGCTCAAAGCGATTAGTGGCCAAATTGATGGAAAGGAGTTCTACAACAACTGCAAAAGATATGCTGCGAATGATGCGACTTGCTTTAATTGTGAAACCAAGTTCGAGTATCCTGATGGGTCTATTCTGTGTCGGTAATTGTTTGACTTAGATAGAGTTTATTTTCTCCTTGCTCAACATCCCATCATAATAAGGTGCTTAGGTGACTGCAGTGCTATTGAGCAATTGGGCCATAGGCGTCGCCGTGAGCCACCTCCATATTTAGCGCTGTCGGTGGCGCTGCTTTGCAGTGATTCATGTGCATAGCTTTTGTGTACTGCCTAAGAGCTTTTGTCACTCTCTGGGCATGAAATTGTGACAGATTACTTTGCCTATCTACTAGAACTTACGCATCGGCGCTACCTATAAGCGGAAGCAGACAAGAAAAAGCGAACTGTGGAAACTGTATGAAATCGATACGGAACTCATCGTGAAATGAAAAGTGATGAATGCCGCACCGCGCGGGTCTGGGAGCATGTGTAATTTTCAGGGTGGGTGGAAGTGCCTTTTTCTCGGCACCCAAGAGCAACCCTTGTGAAGCATCTCGAGCTAGTGGCTCAAAGTGCTGCCTTAGTGTTGGCTATTATACCCAAGATAAGGTAAAAAGGGAAGCTTTCCCCGACGAAGAGCGGCATCAACCCACTTTTTCGAGTAATTGAGTAGGCATTGTTGCATCGAAATGACTGCTTGAGGACTAAGATTAACAGCGAGTTTGCCTGTCTGAATGTTAATTCAATACACTTTGAACCTGTCCCGATAGGCAACACCCCACTGGGCAGAAGGTACGATCCCGAATCCCTGTCGCTGAGCACACTCGCCCTATGAAGACCGACTATAGTTACAATTGAGGCAATCAGCCAAACGCTAACCTAGTTGTGTGAGAGCTACCCACACGTCTCTACTCCATGTTGAGCCAGCTGGTCAAGCTGGCAGGCTGTGAGTGGAACACCGGGACCACCGGACGCTCCGGGCGGGCCGTCGGATTTTTTGAAAGGCGGTCCGCGGACAAGTCAGCCCCGGTGAGGTAGAACTTACAATGATACGGCATGTGAAGCCGTTTCTCTAGTGGAAGAATGGTGAATGCTTTAAGGCGTGTCCTAAGCGAAAGCGAACTATCAATCGACCGATGAAAGACAAAGTGTGCAATATGCAAGAAATAGCGAACCATTGTACGTCACGTTGGAGATATTAAAGCTTATACTGAGATAACTTACCGATACCGACGTTCAAACCTTGATCGACGGCAGTCAGAAGTGTCACAAACGATCCCCACGATTCTGCAAAGGTTGGTAATTGGATGATCATAAATCACGCCATGCGTGGATGAATGTGCGAGGAATGGCTTGCAGCTTTAATGATTACTCATACTGATAGTGCGTGTTTGGATTTGATTTGAGGGGTTTTGGCGAAGATGAAATTCTACCACACAGAGCGACCGGGCTCTCAGTCTAGAATCGTCAACCAGCCCAGAATTCTACTCAAATTGCAGAACCTCAACAACCATGCATGATATGCTTGCTCATGTTCATCATCGCGGCGAAATGCAGAGATCAGCTCTCCTCCGGCGTGGAATCAACCGTGAATGTGTACCCGCCTTCAGCATCGGGCTTGATGTCCGAAAGACAGTACCGGGGAGTCTTCATACTGTTTCGCGTCGCGGTCAGATTTGAGCACATCGATTGATGGATTGAGTTTTGCTTACCTCCATAACCAATTTGCCATACACATATTTTTGCAATTTTTCGCCAGCAGAGTGACGTGATTCTTATATGGCGTATCGTCGAAGCGGCGAGCAGAAGCCTTGACGGCGTCGTTGAGCGCAGAGACTTCGTACTCCAATCGAGTCACAGCACCATCTAGCCCCTTTTGCGCATCGCCATTGGCTAGCAAGACAACAAGGTTCTCGACGAAACCTTCCTTGAGTTCCTTGCGCAGACTCACAATGTCGTTGACGATCCAGACGATGGCAACAGCAGCTCGGTACAGCTCGCGCATTTCTGGGGATGCCATAACCTCCTCGGGAAGGTTGATGCCGTTGGCGAACTCGAGGTTGACCGCCACCTGCATGATACAGGACGACGCCTCGCGGTATCCGAGATATTCTTGGAGCGATGTGGCTCGACCAGCATACCGGTTCACGGCTTCTTGTCGATAGCCGTCAAGTGTGGCAGTAGCTTCTTTGGCGATGCGTTGTCGGTAGCTGTAATTGTCCCCGTTGGCCTTCATGACAGCTTCAGCATACTCAGCAAATGATACAACGGCGTCATGATCCCGATACTGTGGTTGACTGGTTTCAGAGGTAGTAGTGAGGAGTCCGAGGCTACGGTCAATGAAGTCCCGGCAATCGGCCAGAAGAACATGCAGCGAGGCGAAGTCGAACTTTTGTATGAGCGAGTACTGGTCGAGCATGTCATCGACGATGAACATCCAGGCCTGGAAGGAAGTGAGAGCTTCGATTCTATCGCAGGAAGCATATGGGTACCAGCCCGTCAGTTGCTTCGATAGCATGGCCTTCGTTAGACGACCACGAACGGCATCATTGACTGCGTGGCTATTGCTTGGTCAGTGGCATCCCGATCATCGCTATGAAGTTCTCTTACCTCTCAATGATCTGGAGAATCTTGCTGTCTACAGCATCGAGGTGTGGGTTCTGGTCTCTCGGCCAATCTTCCATCAGCCGTCCCAGGTCGGGGATGCGAATTTGCTGGCCATGGAGCTGCAAAAGCATTTTCTCTCGAACCCCATGGGTTCTTTGCGGCAGCAAATCATTGTCACGAGTTTGATGCCCTCTTGGGGTAGCTGAAAGAGCGGGATGAAGCGAGAAGGGTGCTGCGGCAACTGAGGAATGAGACATCTTAGATGTAGGCTTTAAGTGACGGTCCGTGAGAAAAGGAATATAGGAGAAGTCGGCGCATATGGCATATCTATGATATCCTGAAAAGGGGACAGGTTCAGTTGCTTACTTATGTCTCCCACAAGTTGGATATCACAAATACGAATACACCAGCCAACAGCCTGCAAGGAACTTTTGTTTCTCCACTGCGAGGACTATTGATAGGATCCTACTACGGGGGCACCGGACCGAGCCCAATACGACATCAGATCGCACTCTCAAACCGCCCTGGAGCGCTTGAACTACATGCTGCAATTAGGATGCATCAGGCTAAAGCTGCGAGTCCGTGGCGTAGACTGGAGTTTTCGCCTTGCTTATTTCCTGTTTCCGCCTTAAAGTCGAAAGACCGTTGGACGCCGTACGTGTTTTTACAGGCAAGATACATGTTTGAAAGCTCAAAGTACCTGTAGTGATGGTCCAATCTGGCGAGCATGTCGTTGACCGTGAGACTGGCTTACTGCTGCCAAGGTTTTGAAGTAAAACCATGTGGTGGGTCTCTGTATAGACTAAGTAACTCCTTCGCAGCTTCCGGACTTGGGAATAGTAGTTCAAAGTCACAGGACTGAGAGTTTACGTTGTCCGCGGGTATGCCCATTATGCCTGCTGATCATCTTCGATTGCAGGCTACGCCAACCTGGAGTACTCCACTTGCAACCTTCTCGGGGCCGGGACCGGGGCAATGTAGGTTGGCCGTCTTGATTCCTGGGAGCTTAACCACAAAGGTTGTGCACACCAGAACTCACAAGGTTTACTCCCGTTGTAAGAGTGTTGGTATCTTTAACGTCGTTTCAGTAGGAAAAGCAACGTAGGGGCACTGCTACCTGCACTACCTATACACTACGAGGAGGTCGGAAGCGGCATGGCGGAGCGCGTGTAAGGCGCGGAAACATTGGACCAAAACTAATCCAAAAGATAGTGGCCAATAATTACAGACGAAAGTGACTGCACTTCGGCCCGCGAGCACGTCCGAGATTGACATGCGCGCAGATGTCACTCAAGCGCTTAGACTGTAGGCGGAATCGAGCTCCGTGCTGGGCAAAGACGGCAGTATCTTCCTACGCTTTGATAAGTTGACACTTTGTATCTTTGCCCCCATCAGAGTCTCCTTCACCCATGGAAAAGATACTTAACGGGGGGGGGAAGCAAATTAAGTTTCTGTCCCTGGCCTTCTTCTTCGAGGGAGACTCACGAGCAATTATTTCCCATAAAGGCATTTGCCTGAAGTTCGTGATGTCAAAGAGGGGGCGTGGACTGATTGTAAACAGTGATGCGGTTAGGGACGGGCTTCGAAGGCCTCTGCATCTCAAGAGAGGGAAGATATAAAATAAAACATGTTTAAGTTAGCTGCTTCATCGACTAACATGCTTTGCCTATCATCAAGAAGATTGTTATTACCATTGCCGCTGCCACTGCCATCCACTTTTTAACCTCCATCGTGTTTCTCAGTACTTCCGATACACATTTTAACTCACATCACCAACATGACCACCGCCGCTGTTCCTCATAATGTTAGCAGTGGCCACTTCTGGCTCGGTGCCGGCAACGGAGCCAAGAACGGAGCGCCGACGCAACAACAACAGCAACAAGACGTGGAGGTCCCCAAGATTCTCCCTCCCGGAGTCACGCAGGCTGGATTCACCAAATTCGCTCGCCGAGTGATCCAAGCGGTTGGAGGGGGCGAGAACTTCACTGTCATCACGGCTGGCTGTGACTTTGAGGGCTACGAAGATGATGATTTTGGGCGCAACTGCCGCACCCACGACTACTACCGTTCCTTTGACGATGAGTGCGAGCTGGTGGGCTCAGCTCTGTGCCACCCGCGCAGCGTGCAGGATATTCAGGCTGTTCTCGCTGCGTGCAACGAGTCAAAGGTTCCCGTATGGCCCATCAGCACCGGACGAAACCTCGCGTACGGTGGCTCGGCACCAAGGGTGGGCACAACAACCGGCATATCGTCCCTGTATCCCACCATGAAAGACTGACAGGTTGTATCAAGGTTCCTGGATCGCTGGTGATGATTCTCAGCACGCATATGAACCGTATCTTGCACTTGGATGAGACAGCGTGCGTCTGCATCGTTGAGCCGGGTGTCACTTTCATGCAAATGAGCGAGTAAGTCGCCGATCATCCCATCAAAGAATCTCAGAAACCGAGAGACTGACAGGCTTCCCGCAACAAAGTTACCTGCATGACCGCGGCCTCTTGGACAAGATCAGAGTAGACTCGTCAGGCCTCGGCTGGGGATCCATGATTGGAAATGCCCTGGACCGCGGAGGTGGTGCTTCCTTGTACGGTGACAGATGGGGAAAACACAGCGGAATGGAGGTTGTTCTGCCCAACGGTGAGGTCGCCAGGATGGGGATGGGAGCAATCCAGGACCCGGAGGGCCGCAAACAGGCGGAGCAGGGCGTTCACCCAGCCGATCAGAAGCTCAATGAATGTTTCGCTCTGTTCCCGTACGGCTGGGGCCCAATGAACGATGGTCTGTTCTCGCAGGGCAATGCTGGCATTGTCACCAAGATGGGATTCTGGGTGAGATGCCCCGTCCAATGAAATCTGGCCTAGTACGACCACAACGTCGAAAAAGGAAAACTAACAATTTTGATCATAGTTGATGCCCGCTCCGCAGGGCATGACGCCGTTCTCCGTCACTTTTGAGAAGGAAGCCGATCTGGCCGCCCTGGTCGACTGCATTCAGCCCCTTGATCTGGTAGGACCTCTCTTCAGGCTTAGAACGTAAATTTGATCCAGCTGACTCTCTATAGAATGGCACGCTTCAGAGTTCAGTCAGTTTGCGCAATCTCACGTTGGAGGCTGCTCATTATGGCCCGAGGTCCAGCTACACCAATGCCTCTCACAAGGAAGTCATTCCCGAGGAGGACTTTGAGAAGATGGCCAAAAAGCTCAACACGGGCCGGTGGCGCTACATTGGCGCCGTATTCGGCTCCGACAAAGTCCGCGCAGCTTTCATCGAGGATATCAAACAGGAGCTGACCAAGGTCCCCGGTAGCAAGTGGGCCACGCTCGACGAGTGCCCCGGTGAGCAGAACCTGGTTCGTGTCAGAGCCACGTACCTCCAAGGTATCTCGTCCATGGGAGAGTTTGCTTGGATGAAGCAGTGGCTGCCCAACTGCTCCGTCATCATGGTCGCGGCTATTTCCAGACTTGAGGGCAAGGCTGTTTGGGAGCAATATTCCTTGGCAAAGGAGCTGTTCGCCAAGGCGGGCATCGACTACATCAGCCACTACGTCGCATACTTCCGGACTATGCGTAAGTCTTCCCTTGATCGGATCATTGAAAGTAACTACTTAGTTCACATAACCTGACATCGCACTTCCAGACAACGTGTGCATCATCCCGTATGACAGAAAGGACAAGGACATGCGTGGCCGCGCGCAGTGGTTGGGCCGGACCCTGGTCAAGGAGTGGAAGGCTCGCGGCTGGAGCGTCTTCAGGACTCACGTGGGTCTCATGGATCAAGTTGCGGATGCTTATGACTTCAACAATGGTGCCCTGTGGAAGATGCATGAGGAGATTCACGACACCCTGGATCCCAATGGCATTCTAGCTCCCGGAAGAGGCGGTGTCTGGCCAAAGTGCTACGATAAGGATGCTTGGATTATGGGAAAGAAGTACATTGGATGAGGTGAGCCTGGTAAATACTCAGAGATACGAATCCGAGTCTGCATGAGTTTTCATAAGATTTACCTGATCGACGGAGTAAAACGGGACGATAGTTACTGTGAATGGAAGACCGTGGATGATTTGACAACTACCAGCGCCGTGCTTCATGGTAGTCTTAGAAGCGTAAGTGTAGAGTCCCATCATCCGTAGCTACGGACCGCTGAAACAATAAGCTCTTTATTAGATATGGTTACTATTCCCACCATTCAATCTATGCGGAACTTCCCTCGCTGGACTATAACATGGACTTCCGATAGTCCACTTCTTTACGCTACCTTTTCGGGCCTCTCATCCGCTTGGTTTACATCATGTAAGTTGTGACTTGAGATTGCGGACCTCCACTGCTCCAGCCCTGCCGTCACTAGTCATGAGCCAGGTTCATCGTCTAACTATTTCTGGAAAGCCGTTCGCACACCTTCTCTCTTCAGCTGTCATCCGATCTACTAGATCACCAATCACGCGATAAAGATGGCTTACCGCGGCTCTGGTTGTATGCACCAAGTTCCAACTCTCTAAGTGGGCAACTCGGACTCTAAGTTTTCTTGGGTTGACACATCCCGTCGGTCCATACCGTGGCAACCAATATGTTCTTTGGAGTCGGGAAGATCATTGAAGTAAACAGAGAAGGAGCCAAGGCCGCAGGTCGTTTCATTTCATCAGTCTTGTTGAGATTTGTAATCGGGGATCGCAGGGCTTCAGATTGGACTTCTCAAATCAGGCGTATGAAAGCCTTGGGGACCTGATGTGAGCATTGAAACGGACAACCCCCACGAGTCAAGCACCCGAGATTCAGAGCAGATGTTCTTTTGTAGTCACGACCCTATACAGACTTCTCGATTTGGGAGTTACAAGAGGTCAGCTGGCTAGTCTTGATTCCTACACGTACCTAGCAAAGCTCCATAATGTTCTTCCTCAGTAAATGTGGAGGCTGCCTCTGTGGCCGGAATTACACGAGCAGGTCTCATCAACTACTGACATCAACCCGCTCAGTGGCGTACAAAACCCAACACATTCATGGTTCACCGGAGGACTAGGATTGCCTTCGGTCCGAGATACACCACGGCAGGCTATCATAACGGGCTACAGCTCGAAGAAAACAAGTTTCAACTCGAAACCACATTGTCCTCATTCATTCAACTAAAGTCTACCTTATCTACCAGGATTGGTAATAGAGAACCCCTTGATCGGAAAGTTGAAGTTGATATGATGCGACTCAACCTTGCCCACCCCAGAGGGTATATACACACTCTTATCCGCCGCCTTACTCGAAGCATAAT